TTGGTTGCCTCCAGTGTGCCCTCACCATGGATCAACCAGCAAGCTAGGTTTGTGCCCTGACCTGGACCAATCACACCCACAGCCTTTTGGTGCCTGGGATGACACTCCAACCAACTGAGCCAGGGCTAGAAATATTTTTTAAAATAGTAAAATTATTTTTACTAGTAAAATTACTTTTGCTGTTATGAAGTATTTTTCCATTAAAAAATAAGAGAAGCCAGGTCTGAATATAACTACTATCTAATCATGGAAAAGCTTTAAGGTATCTATAATAATAAAAGCATAATTTGCAAATCAACTGAACAGCCAAACAGCAGAACAACTGTCTGGATGCCCTTCCAAATGACCTTCCGGATGACAAGGATGAAGCTACGGCTACGAGGACTGAGGCAACTGGGGCTGTGAAGGCCTACTCTTGCACGAATTTCATGCATCGGGCCTCTAATATATAACTATAACCTTTTAAGCATCATAAAGAATTATCGGCATGGACTTTTTTAATCCGGGTTTTAATCCTCCATAGTAGGTGCTTTTACAATTAAATCATACTATCTATATATTTCCTGTTATTTTATACTAGGGGCCTGGTGCATGAAGATTCGTGCATGGAGGTGTGGAGGGTGGGGGTGAGGGGGGGTCCCTCAGCACAATCTGTATCCTCTTCAATCTGGGAGCCCTCAGGGGAGCCCTCTCCAATCCGGAAGTTTCTGTCTGTCTTTGCAATCATATGAGAAAATTGTCTGAGACCTCCAACCCACTTTGGTCTGCTGCTCACAGAATAATAGAGGCATTTTTTTTTCTTTGCTTCATTGATGGAGATTTCCTGGAAGTTTTAGGATTTCTTCCCTTTAATTTTTCCTAGACAGTCTGATTTTACTCATGTCTCTCACCTTTGCCTTCCCTCCATCCCCCACTGCAGCAGTAACTTGCTCCAAGCTCACTTTGTTCTAGTGTCTAGGAGATACGTCCACCACCAGAACTATGATTCTCAGCATTCCTGGTGCTCCCTGTGCTCTGGGATTCCACTTCCAATCCTGGGGTTGCCATCAGAAGTAGTATTCCCAGAATTCCTGGTGCTCACTGCTCTGGGAGTGACCGAGGGAGCCAAGGCCCCTCAAGCCTCCAGCTCTCTTGCTCTGCTCTCCACCCAGTGACCGAGGGAGCCATGTATCCCCAAGGGAGTGACCAAGGGAGCAACCAATGGAGCCACGTCCCCCTAAGCTGCTAACTCTCCTGCTTCTGCTCTCTGCCCATAGCCTGTGCATGCAAATTAACCTTGCTTCTGCTCTCTGCCAGGGGCCTGTGCATGCAAATTAACCCACAATCTTTGTCAGGTTAATTTGCATATTCACTCCTGATTGGCTGGTGAGCGTAGCAAAGGGAAGGTCACTTTACGTTTCTCTTTTATTACATAGGATATTTTGAGGAGGATTATGGAGGATAAGTAAATATTCTAAAAGATATTAAATCCCTTTCCATTGAATAATGAAAAGGTTTTTTGTGTGTTTTAGCACTTGTAAACTCAGAATTCATATTCTAATTTCAACTTTACTTCCACATTTGGATGTCTTACATATAAATTTATTATTTCCATTATGTCATTATTATATACAAATGCTGCTTTTATAAAAATAAGTACAATCATTTAACATTTTTATAATTTGATTACATCTTTTTACATCTTTAATTTACACTTAGATATAGTAACTATAGCAAAGGTCAGTCAATAGATGCTTCATAGCTACAAATAGGATAAAATAACTTGCTTATTGGACAATATATTTATTTCTAATTTTATATACAAGTTATGCCTTCTTTTTTTTTAATATATTTTATTGATTTTTTTACAGAGAGGGAGGGAGAGAGATAGAGAGCCAGAAACATTGATGAGAGAGAAACATCGATCAGCTGCCTCCTGCACATCTCCCACTGGGGATGTGCCTGCAACCCAGGTACATGCCCTTGACCGGAATCGAACCCGGGACCTTTCAGTCCGCAGGCCGACGCTCTATCCACTGAGCCAAACCGGTTTCGGCAAGTTATGCCTTCTTTTAAGGAGGGTGCTTTCCTTAATATCATCTCTTATATATCTTATAAGTTCCTACCACATGGAGCTGGATTTAATCTTTAATTTAGGGATTTCGTAAAAGTTTAGGAAAAGACATATAATGTACATTAAAGCTGCTACGGTCATTAACTACTACATTGAACTTCAAGAGGAGAAAGTACTTTACATGAAATATCTTAAAAGAAAAAATTAAACATAAAATGATTTTTAAAATATAAAATTATGAAACTACTTGCTGCACAAAACTCTATAATAAAGAATAAATTATGGTCCTTTGAAAATTCAGTTACACAATTATTATACAACTAGAGGCCTGTTGCATGAAGAGATTCATGTAATAGACCTTCCCTTCCCCAGGCTACCAGCACCGGTTTTCCTCCGGCCCCTGGGACCCAGGCCTTCATGACTCCAGACAGAGCCTTCAGTCTTCGTGGCTCCAGATGGAGCCTCTGGATGGAGCCTTCAGTCTTCGCTCCACTGCTTTGCCCCTACTTATGCAAATTAACAGCCATCTTTGTTGGGTTAATTTGCATACTCTCCTGATTGGTTGGTGAGCGTAGAGGAGGGATGGTTAATTTACATGTTTGTCTATTATTTGGTAAGATAATATAAACCAGAAAAAACTCAATGCAAAAATTGGATTCTTGTGCAATAGAATTTGAATCCAGTTACATAAGGGCATATTCACCCATCTAAATCATGTCTCTCAATGATGAGGAAAAAGTAAAAAAAAATTAAGTATTAATTAGCCAATAAATGATTTAAAATTAAGGTTCTAAAAGCAAACAATAACAAAAACACCACAAAACTTTACATATCCAATCATGCATTTCACACAAAATAATCCAACATAGTATCCATCCATCCATTATTAGGTAGATTTATAAGCATAGCATCTCAGTCTTTTGCCATTAAATATTTATTTACACAACTTTCTTTTTTCTGGTTCTATGTTCACAAAGCAAATTGATAAATACAATTGTGTGGATTTACATTAACATAACAAAAAGAAAATGGATATTAGAAGATTAAAAGCTATCAGTAAAAGGCAAGCTAATAAACACAACAAATGTTAAGTTGCATGAAAAAGAAGGTCTGTGTATGGACACAGAGGTCCACATATGACAACCAGCCTTATAAACAGTCTCTAAGAACAAATAAAATGAACCAGGATAGTAATAATTTACCTTGGTATAAGAAGCATTTTTATTTCAGGATAAATTAGTACATTTTTAATGTGATATTTCAACTCACTTTACATTTAAAAATGCCAATTATAAAATTCCCTGTGAATCATTAAAGAAAAACTTAATCTGTTGACTGGTATACTAGTATTTATAAAAGAAAATTATTTTCTGCCATAATAACTATGCATTGCTGGAGAGTGACATTGATGATATAATAAACCCTTCCTTAACTGTAGTTTCCTAATTGTGATAATATTACATAGAAAAAATTCCCAAAGCCTTCTTAGAATTAAGTAAATTGTGGAGGCCCTTTGCCATGGATAGTAATATAACATCCCCACTAATCACTCTTTCAGCTGTGCTAATTTATAGCCACAGTTTTAGATTAAGAGGATCACCATCTCATTGGAATTGATTGACAGTTCTGGCAATGTAAATTCTCCAAAGCTTCTACAGGAAATAGAACTAAAAACTCCATAAATATGAGCAATGTAAGCATAGTCACTCCTATCTTCTACTACTTAGGGGCACAGAATGAATAAAGATTTCAATTCATGTTTTAGAAATTGCATAGTTCATATTTAAACCAGTTACAGAAAGCAAATTCACTGTTAAAATATAAAAAATCTTGAGCAGACACTTCTCCGCAGAATATGTAAAAATGGCCAGTAGACATATGAAAAGATACCTAATTTCACTAGCCAATAGAGAAATGCAAATCAAAAGTATACTGAGACACCACCTCTTAGAATGGCTATTATCAACAAGACAGGTAATAATAAGTGTTGGAGAGGTTGTGGAGAAAAAGGAACACTTGTACACTGCTGAAGGAAATGTAAACTGGTACAGCCACTATGAAAAACAGTATGGAGGCTTCTCAAAAAATTAAGAATAGAGTTACCATATCACCCAGCAAACTTCTGGGTACCTACCTGAAAGTTTTGAAAACATTTATTTACGAAGACACATGCATCCTTATGTTAATTTCAGCATTATTAATGACTAGAGACCCGGTGCATGAAAGTCATGCTTGGATAAGGTCCCTAAGCCTGGCCGGCAATCAGAGCTGCCCAGGGCCTTCCTTTCCCTGGCTGCCAGCTGCTGGTTGGGGCCTTCCTTTGTTCCATGTAGCCCCCTGGTGGTTAGAACACGTCATAGTGAGTGGTCGAATTCTCTAGGGGACAATTTGCATATTAGCCTTTTATTATATAAAAAGGCCAAGACATGAGAACAAAAGAAGTGTCTCTCAATAGATGATTGGATAAAGAAGATGTGGTACATATTTCCAATGGAATACTACTCATCCATAAGGAAAGGTGAAATATTGCCATTTGCAACATAGATCAGTGATGGCGAACCTTTTGAGCTCAGTGTGTCAGCATTTTGAAAAACCCTAACTTAACTCTGGTGCCATGTCACATATAAAAAATTTTTGATCTTTGCAACCATAGTAAAACAAAGATTTATATTTTTGATATTTATTTTATATATTTAAATGCCATTTAACAAAGAAAAATCAACCAAAAAAATGAGTTCGCGTGTCATAGGTTCGCCATCACTGACATAGATGGATCTTGAGAATATCATACTTAGCAAAATAAGTCGGAGAGAAAAAGTCAAGATAATATGATTTCACATATATGTGGGATATAAAACTGTAAGCAACAAATGAACAAACAAAAATACAAACAAAAGCTCATAGAAAGAGACAACAGTATGGTATTTATCAGAAGGAAGGGAAGTGAGTGGGTAGTAAAGGGTAAAGGGGGTCAAATACATGGTAACAGGAAAACATTTGAGTTTTGGTGGTAAACACA